AAGAAATTATTTATCTTTTGCTCATTTTGGGAAGTTTAKGGACCTAAGAATCTGCAGAATTTTATTGCTATGGCTTTAAGCACAACAGTTTTAATAGTAAGTAAAATTATAATTCTTTGCATATTTTAAAATAAAAGCAAGAAATCTTAGAAAATTTAAAGTGGGAACAAAGCCTTGTGAAACCTTAGGAATTATTATTAACTCATGCAAACTGCTTAGGTACCCTGCCTTTGAATTTGTAAAAATTAAGAAGATTGACTTGGACAGTTTATAGAAGCAGGATCAGAAGGACTGTAATCTTAATCATACAGATGAAGAGGGAAGGTGGAAAGTAAATCTTCCCTGTTCCCTGAAGTGCTCACATTTCTTCCCCAATTTCAAATACCCACTCATTTACAGCCCTTAAGAAAATTTGAGTTGTGAACACTGAGTGTGATGCCTGTAATCCCAGTAATTTGGGAGATTGAGGTAGGAGGATCATAAGTTTGAGGGCCACCTGGGCAATTTAGCAAGACTCTGTCTTAAAATAAAAAATTAAAAAGGACTGGGGGTGTAGTGCAGAGGTAAAGTGCCTTGGGTTCAATCCCCAGTATGGATGGATGGATGGAAGGAAGGAAGGAAGGAAGGAAGGAAGGAAGGAAGGAAGGAAGGAAGGAAGGAAGGGAGTGAGGGAGGGAAACAAAAAGAAAAACCAAGTCGTGGAGAGTAAGTGTTCTTGAAATATATTTCTAGATCTGGGAGTTTGGACTTAAGCCTTTAATTCATTGATTTATTAATTCGTTGATGAATGAGGTCATATGGAAAAACTCTGCTGCTTGGTTGTGTTGGTGGAAACTTTTCTAAGCAGGAACTAAATGACTGTTTGCTTAGCTAGAGGTTATTTGCTTCTCAGAACAACACATTACATTTCTGAACTCGGACCCAGCAAGCAGAGCAGTTTCCAGAGAGCTCCAATCCAGAGGGAGTGGCTGTACTCAAGTACAGGTTGTCATCAGACTTTCTGAAGTGCTTTGTCTGTTAAGGTTACTTTAACCTTAGCTCACCACTGTCCCTGAGTGCCTTCCACATCTGTGTCATGTTGGCATGCCAGTTCACATTCATCTCTGCAGCATCAGTTTTAAATCCAGTTCTTGGTCCTTAGGGTGTTACATAATAAATTAAAAACCCAAAATCAAAGGAGTTTTATGTGCAATGCATATGAACTAACTGGACCTGACTTCCTGTGGGGAAAATGAACAGCTGAGCTGACTACATTATAGGTGCTCATTAATGACTGTAGGAATGCCTTGCCTCTTTCCTGAAAAGGCATCAGGAGTCTCCCATGTGCCAATCACTGTGGTGGTCCTGGGGATGCCACGATGTGGTCCTTGTTCCTTCAAGGAGCTCTTGTTTAAAACATCATAGTGTGAGATGCATGCTTTGGCACAGGTGAGCCACAGGGGTTCAGCAGTTCAGATTGCTAAAGGAAAGAAAAGTCTTCCCTGAGCCAAGTCCAGAATGATGCCAAGGGTGCTCACAGTGGTTGCAAAGGCAGGAAGAGGTATGAAGCTAGTCCTGCAGGCCTGCATAGGTTGGGACTATGGAGGTGTACAAGAGCAGAAGGCAAATACCCCCTGCTAAGGAGTTTAAGATTCTGTCCTGGAGGCAGTAGGAAGCCTTTGCAATGATGCAATGGAATTCGTGTTTTTAAAACACCACTTTGCTTCATCTCACTCCAATTAGATGATGGCCAAGCCATCAATAATACAAAAAATAAGAAATGTAAGAGAGGATGTGGGGAAAAGGAACCCTTACACACTGTTGGTGGGGTTGTAAATTAGTACAACCACTGTGCAAAATCAGTATGGAGGTTACTTAAAAGACTAGGAATGGAACTCATACAGACCCTGTTCTACCACTCCTCGGTATTTAGCCTGAAGAATTAAAGTCATTATAGTACAGTGATACATGCATACCCAAGTTTATAACTACACAGCTCACACAGTCACATTATGGAATCAGCCCAGGTGTCTGTTAGTGGATGAGTGGATAAATGTGGGGATACATACACAGCAGAATTTCATTCAGTCATAAAGAAGAACAAAATTGTCAGTTTCAGGAAAGTGGATGGAACTCGAGAGCATTATGTTAAGTAAAATTAAGTGAAATTCAGAAAGTCAAGGGTCATGTTTTCTTTCCTATGTGGAAGCTAGAGAGAAAAAATGGATAAAAGGTAGAGGCAGATCTCATGAAAACAGAAAGGGAACCAGGGGAGGAAGGAGAGGAGGAAAGGGAAGGTAGTAGGGAGTGAAATTGACCCGATTATATTATTCTCTTGTGTGCATGTACAAATATGTAACAATGAACACCACTATTTTAATGCACCAATAAAAATGTCTAATTAGAAAAACATAAAAATAGCTGGGAGCAGTGGTGCAAGCCTGTAATCTCAGTGKCTCAGGAGGCCGAGACAGGAGGATTGCAAGTTCAAAGCCAACCTCAGCAATTTAGCAAGGCACCAAGCAACTCAGTAAGACTCTGACTCTAAATAAGATACAAAATAGGGTTGAGGATGTGTCTCAGTGGTTGAGTGCCCCTGAGTTCAATTCCCAGTACCAAAAAAAAGAAAAACTATCACTTTGCTAGCAATATAGGGGATGCATTGGCAATTGGTGAGCTAAGAAGCAGAGACACACCCTATAGAGGCTATTGCAAATATCCTGGTGAAAAAAAAAAAAGAGAGACCTAAGGCAGTCTTGTGGAGCTTAAGAGAAACAGAGACATCAGGGAGGTGCAGGAACTTAGTCATCAGTGATGGATATTGAGGAAGAGTAGAGGAACAAGTCAAGGATGTCCCTGAGATTTCTCACTTGATATGATGCTCCTCATCAAAATGAGACTCAGGAGGAGGAAGGCCATGTTGACTTCCAGAATTAGGGGGATGATGGTGAGATCAGGTTGGGAGTCTAATGAATTTGAGAAGCTTGAGAGACATTCATGAGGGGACGTCTGAGAGGGATGGCCAGATGGGCCTAGAGTTCAAGCGGGAGGAGCTGTAGTACCGTTGTTGGCTGGTCCCTTTATGGGAAGACAGTTAGATATTATTAGAAGATTCAGGGACTCTGTGGTCTTGATAACTTTAGACAGCTCTCTTGGAAGCCATGTTATCAATTTGGGGATCATTTAGAGGTGGTAGAAATGTGAGATGTATTGAAATGACTCCTAAAGAGTTCAGCAGGGAAACTGTGGTCCCCAAGGTGAACCTGGGATTCTTCCCAGTGTTGTTGTTCTCTCTCGCCCGTTCTTCTTTTGAATGTCCCCCTAAGGCTCCTGCAAGAAAATCTCAGTTATTGGACTGTGGAGAAAGTGCATTGGTAAAGAGATGTAAAAAGACATTTTACTAAATATGTCATCTTCTTAATAACCCTGCAAGATTATTAACAGTCCCATTTTACAGTTAACATAACTGAACCTCTGAGGGGTTACATAGCTTACCTCATAATAAGTAGTAAAGTTATAGGTCAAGTTTTAGACTGGTAAAGTTTMATTCTTTTTCTCCTAAACAATACTAACATATTTTTTAAATAACAGGCCTAGTAACCCCTTGATAAAGTTCCTAGTGTTGTTATTGAGGAAAAAAAAAAGTTTTGTGGAAAGGATTTGGCACCAGTCCCATTTATCAAGAGCAATACTCTCTCTGGATTACCCAAAACTGATTCCTCTGGTGCATCCCCTACACCTCACTTCCCCACTTCTTCCTACAGTGGTCAGGTCTGGTGGTTCTTATGGTGCCCTATTCTAGGTCCAGTTAATCCACTTAAGACCCTACCACCAGCGCCATGCTTATCATGTTTTCCCCTTTCTTTCCACCTCCACTTTTCTCTCTATCTCCTTACACCCTAAGCAGTCATAGGGATCCTTTAGTTCTAAGGAAACATACAAAGTCAGTGCTCTGCTTGGAAGCCTCTGATGATTTCTCAACTCACTGAGAACACAAGGCCTCCTTTTTATAAATTTAAAATCTTTAATGATTTTTAGTTGTAGATGGACACATACCTTTAGTTCATTTATTTATTTTTATGCAGTGCTGAGGATCGAACCCAGTGCCTCATATGTGCTAGGCAAGTCTCTACCACTRAGCTACAACCCCAGCCCYAAGGCTTTCTTTTCAAGGCCTTCTGCATTCTGTCCTCTGGTTGCTACTATGATCCTGTTACTGACCATACTTGCTCCACCTGAACCACACTATCTGTTTCTCAAGCACCTCTAACACGTTCTGCACCCAGCAGGGCTTGTAGCCTTCCTGTACTTACTTCCTGTAGTGGTTTTGCCTAGCTATCTGTGTGACCACTCTTTTGAAAATAGCAGTCCCCACCATGCTCCATCTCTGTTCTGCCTGAGTTTTCTTCATCTCACTTGTGTATTAACATCCCCATGTAAGCCCAGTGAGTTCAAAGGCTTTGTCCGATTCTCACTACATCCCCAGCTGCTAGGGTAGCACGTAGCACTTACAGCACTCCTTGAATTATGGAATTAATACGTGGAAGCCATGATCCTGGCAGAGAAGTAGAGTCACTATGACCAAGGACCTGCAGTAATGAAAAGGAGTATCTTGGTTTTCCCAACATGGTTAGCATTATTAGTTCCCCAAGGTTCCTCATTTGTGGATAATTGTGACCAGTTTTCAGAAAACTTGTATACATTTCCCTGGGTTAGATTTGTTATCTGATAAAGGATTGATTTTTCTTCAAACACAGAAGTCACTAGGACAGATTTGCTGCCTCAGGAGATGACTGACAATAGTGCGGTTTCTCATGTCTACAATCCCAAATCTGGAAGTCACTCATGGGAGTATCTGTGTTTGTGGGGTCCGTTGCATATACTTCCTATATGATAGCTTTCTGATGCTCTAGGAAAAAGACTTCCTTTGATAACTTGACTTCAGTGTCCTTAGTCAAAAGTTTTCCATTGGAGCCCTGGATGCCTTTTTCAGTACATTTTTTCTGTTGTTCTTCTTTTAGGATCTTCTATGTCTCTCATGACTCCCAAGACTTGAAGATCTTCAGCTATATCGCTMGAGATGGTGCCAGCAATATCTTCAGGTGTAACGTCTTTAAGTCCAAGAAGAAGGTAAAGGATCAGTCACTGGTTATCTATAATGTTCCTCTGATGGTCCCAGCACATCCCCAACATAGACCAGTCTCCCTGTTAAAGATCTGGAGGTGGCTGTTTCGATTCCCGACATGGAGGAACTGTCAGTTCTCCTATGTAATGAAATTCTCTTTTAGTTTCATCTGAACTTTGACTTGGTTACATATAAACAGTTGGAGAGGGACTGGCCATTGGATAAGTATTTTGGAACAGGAGCAGGTAGTTGACACCAGGAATGAGGTTGACCTCAGTGTGCATTAGAAAAGAAGCATTGCCATGGACTAAGGTGATCCTTCTGATCAGTGGATCAGTGGGCTTCAAGTCATGACCCTTGGAATCTGGTTTAGACTTAGGGTATGATATTGGTTTTCCTGGGTAATTATTTTGTTAAGGTGGCCTTGATACTTGAGTAAATGCAACCTTTTCAGTTCTATAGAGGCATTCTTCTTCTCTGCCATTCCTCCAGGACCTAACACAAAGAACTGGGGTTTTGGATACCTCCATGGGGGTTAGGAAACCTAGGATTTAGCCACACCTGAATGATTTTATGCAGGCTGCTTCTCCACTATAAATCCTGCTTCCTTAGATATAATGTGCTAATAGCCTGGGAACTATTATTTTTCTGAAGAGATTTTGGAAAGCCCTGTACTGGGGCCTTTAAGAACCCTTATTGATCTACTATTTCTAGAGACGAATAGGGCTGGGGATGTGGCTCAAGCGGTAGCGCGCTCGCCTGGCATGCGTGCGGCCCGGGTTCGATCCTCAGCACCACATACCAACAAAGATGTTGTGTCYGCCAAAAACTAAAAAATAAATATTAAAAAAAATTCTCTAGAGACAAACCACTAAGTCTGACTTCCTGAGAGGCCTTCTCACCTTCTTCCTGCATACTTCCTTTGATTCTATGTAACATCTTATGCTTTAAGGCATTTTTAATAGACTCATGGTTATCTCACCTTTGTCAAGTGGGGATAATAATATGTGACAGGGTCAAGATCAACTAATACAGATGTTCCTTGAGTAATGATGGGGTTATGTCCCAATAAACCTTTCCTCAGCTGAAAATGCCCTTAATATACCCACCCTACTGAACATCCTAACTTAGTAGCAGATCTTACAGTACCAGTGGTTTCCTCTTATGATAACATGATTGACCAGCACTAAGGCTCCTGTCAATGCCCAGCATTGCAGGAGTATCTTACTATATATCATTAGCTTAGGAAAAAATTAAAATTCAAAATTTGACGTACAACCTCTAATGAGTACATATAGCTTTTGCCCCACTATAAAAATCAAAAAGTTGTTATGTCTGACCATCCTAAGTTTGGTTGTATATATGTCCTGTTTCCTATCCTAACTCCATAAAGGAAATCACAACTTGCTAACTTGCCTCTCCTCTAAGGAGATGTGCACCCTTATGCACCCAGCTCTCAGACTTAATTTTAATCATTCATTTATTTATTTTTGTGRTACTAGAGATCGAACCAAGGGCCTCATGCTTGCTAAGCAAGTGCTTTACCACTGAGCTGCGCTCCAGCCCTCGGGCTTTTTAAATGAAAATCATGACATTGTATGGAAAGTGCTAAAACTAGAGAGATGAGAGGGAAAGGGGGTAAGTTCTCAGACTTCGCTTCTAGATAATAATACAGTTGAGATAAAGAGAATGTGAGGAGGCCAGGTTGAACTGCAGTATCAAAACACTGATAGAAGCACAAGTAGGAAGAGGGAGGAAAGAAGGCTAGAGGTGGGAGACACGAGGGCCTGGGAGAAATGGTCTTACCCTCCTTAGAGCTGTAGAGGATCTGGGGAAGAGAGAAAGGAAACTCAGGTTGGACCATCTCTAATGTTCTCTGACAAGTGTCTAAAGATTGAAATTCCCTTAATTCATTTTGAGTCCTTGRCCATGCCTCTGACTTCAGTTTTGTACATAGGCTGGACCATGTAAACTTTTTAATTTAATAGAGTTACAAATAGAGTTACCAAGTGCTTTGATAGTTGATCTTATTTTAATATCTTTCCAATGTGTATATAGGAAAGGTAAGATAGTTAATTTTCACCCAGTTTTAGAGATGAGTAAACCGAGGCTCAGAGAGACTAAATGACTTGCCCACCTTCCCACTGTAAAGCATTGGCTATAATCTGGGAGATATATAGAACAAAAGAATTTTTTAGCAAAAAAACTAGGTAAACAGACTATTATATTTGTGGGCTATTTTCTTTTCTCCTCCTCTTCCTCCTCCTTCTTCTCCTTCCTCTGCCTCTTCTTCCTCTTTTTTCTCTCCTCCTCCTCCTTTCTCTTCCTTTTCCACTTCCCCTTTCTCCTTCTCTTTCTCCTCCTCTTCTTCTTTTCCATCCTCTTCCTCCTCATTCTCCTCCTCCTCATCATCATCAGGAGTTGAACCCAGGGATGCACTGTCACTGAGCTATATCCCTAGTCCTTTTTATTCATTTTTTATTGTTTCTTTTTATAGTTATACATGACAGTAGAATCCGTTTTGATGTAATGGTAACCTTTCCCCACCCCCTGCTCCCTTCCCTCTATTGATCTTTCCACCATTTATTTTTAGGTTTTTTAAATTAATGTCTCGTGGAGGTACTCAATGGGGAGATTCACAGTGGTATATTTGTGTATGTACATAGGAAAGTTAGATCATTCCACTATCTTTCCTTTTCTCATTTCCCTTCCTTCAATCCCCTACTCCACTGAACTTTCATTCTCCCTTCTCCCCTTATTGTGGGTTAGCTTCCACATTCCATTGAAAACATTCAACCTCTGTTTTTTGGGGATTGGCTTATTTGACTTAGCATGATAGTATCCAGATTCATCCATTTACCAGCAAATGTCAAAAAGTCATTTTTCTTTTTTTTTTGAAGATAGGAAATAATTTATTTTTTTTATTGGTTGTTCAAAACATTACAAAGCTCTTGACATATGTTTCATACATTAGATTCAAGTTGGTTATGAACTCCCATTTTTACCCCAAATACAGATTGCAGAATCTCATCTGTTACACATCCACATTTTAAAAAGTCATTTTTCTTTATGGCTGAATAATACTCCATAGTGTATACGTAGCTCATTTTCTTTATCCATTCATCTATTGAAGGGCACCTAGATTGGGTCTATAGCATAACTATTGTGAACTATGACACCTTAAACATTGATGTGCTGCATAACTATAGTATGCTTATTTTAAGTCCTTTGGATATATGCCAAGGAGTGGGATAACTGTGTCAAATGGTGGTTCCATTTGTAGTCTTCTGAGGAATCTCCATATTGCTTTCCAGAGAAGTTTTACCAATTTGCAGCATCACCAACAGTGTATGACTGTACCCTTTTCCCCACATCCTCACCAACATTTATTGTTACCAGTCCTTTTTGTTGTTGTTTTGAGACAGAGTCTTGCTAAGTTGCTGGGGCTGGCCTTGAAACTTGCAATTTTCCTGCCTCAGCCTCCTGGGTCATTGGGACTATAGGTGTGTGCCTCTATACCTGGCCTATATCTTGTATTTGCCTGGCCATCAAACTTAGTATAGCAATACAGACAGAGTGGGGGTGTCCTTCTGCCAAAACCCGAGTCTAAGAAAAATGCCCACTTGGATCTTTGATCTTGAAGTGAAGCCCAGATTCCATTGCTGTTGCTAGATGAAAAGGAGCAGTCATCTAGTTTTCTGTCACATCATTTTTTTCCCATGTCTTGTAGCTCCCAGAGCTAATTCTGATGTCTGGCTCTTCTATTTTCTTTTTTATTTCTTTTGGATTGAGGAGAGGGTACTGGGGATTGAACTTAGGTGTGCATTGCCGTTTAACTACATCTGTAGCCCTTTTTATTTTCTCATTTTGAAACAGGGTCTCATAAGTTACTGAAGCTGTCCTTGAACTTGTGATCCTCTTGCCTCAGCCTCCTGAGTCACAGGGATTACAGACATGTGTCGCCATGCCCAGCTAGCTCTTCCGTTTTGTTTTTTAAATCCTTTCACCCTCCCCTACTGAGACTGTAGCTCTTCCTAGAGTTGGTTCTCAGGTCTGGTGCTGGTTTGTCTACCATGTAGCTAGGGAATTGCTTCTGCATAGCCTGATGTGAGTTCTTTTGCTGAACTCTTGGTGGAAGGGCCAGTTTCTAAGCCATAAAAAGAGAAATAAATTGCTAATCAAAGGGAACAGAATTGGGAAGAAGTGGCAATATATCTCTAGGGTTTTACATGCCATCTTGATTAGCCCCCAAATCCAGTGATTTACTATTTTATAAAACTCTTCAGGTTTAGGGAGGCAATAGTCAGCTTGGTCAGGAGTTTTAAGAGGAAAATCATAGGAATATTGAAGAGGTGATGGGGAAAGTACTACACATCCCAAGGAAATGTGTTTTGCAGGAATGTTCTTGGTCATTAGATGTCAATAGGGAGACCTCTTGCTGGAAGCCAGCAGACTTGGGTGTCCTCCAGAGTCCTTATACTGATCACAATGTGGGAAAACCTTGTATAAACTTGTTGCTGTGCCAGGGTTTTGGTTCCTGCTGTTTGACCTTGCATTATGTCCCCTGTGTGCACACCCATGGCACGTTTCTCATGACAAACCTGTAATGAGGGTGTCATTCATATCCTATAGTTCACCATGGAGAAAGAGTTGAGCATATGGGTTGGGTATCTCAACTTTCACATTAGAAGGCATCCCTATAACCTTTGCTCCTGGCACAGATATTTTTCTGTACCTAGGGATCATCCTCAGTTACTCACAAGTATAGCCAATGTGGTTCCATCTTGGGAATTTTAACCTTGAGCTGTTTTTTTTTTTCTCCAGAAGCTAGATAGCAGATTGCTGCAGGAATATAAGATGGTTCCTTTTAGTCTTATACTACTATGGATTATCTAAGTCATAGTTTAATATTAAGTTAAAAATATCTAGCCTGTTTTGATTTACTGCCATGTGCCTGAGACTGCCCTAAGCTCTATGAATGAATTATCTCAAAAGCCTAGAGAGA